GCCCCGCCCCGCAATGCCTCCACTAACTGAGGGAAATAAAGCCCAGTTCCGAATGAAACACTCACCAGGTCCTCTCGGCTGGCCTTTGTTGACCAGTGGGGCCGACTTGTCAGTCCTAGAAAGAAGGGAAAATAGATTTACTGACACCCGAGGCCTGAAGGCATGTTACCTGCCCTCCACCCCGCCCCCGCCCCTTTTATAAAGGCACCGTCTGTGTTCAGGTTGAAACGGTTGAGCTGATTCAATGACCTGTCCTCCAACTCCCTCTTTCCCCCCCCACAGCGCCAGGCCCAAGGCCGGGAGTGTTCCTGCCCCATGGGCGTGCCGTCCTGACCCTCTGAGAAACTTCTTCAAAGGGCCAGAGAGTAAGTTTCTTAGGCTCTGTGGGTCACAAGGTCTCTATCGTGACTCCATGAAGCAGACAGGACACTGTTAACTTGAAAATGATACGATAGCAGAAAGGAAACACAATTTAAAAAGCGGGAAGATACATCTGAGAAAATCTCCCAGAAAGTCAATTTAAAAAGCAAACAAACAAGCAAACAACAGGGAGGCGGAAACTAGAAGGCTGGCCTCCGGCGGGCGGAGCCCCGGCTGCACTTCCAGCCCCGGCCTCCAGGTGGGGCCACGGGACCAGCTGGGTGGCAGGAGCCGAGCACCACTCCCGGTACCCGGGGCAGCTGGCACAGTTTCCGAGGGCCCCTTTCCCTTCAGACGTAGGCGGCGAAGGTGGTGCCACCAGCAGCACACGGGCCTGGCCCCCCTCACCCCTCGGGGCTGCTCCACGGGCAGGATTACGGCAGGACTGTGTGGGCGAGAAGCGAGCTCTCGCTTGTTAAACCACTGAGGCTGAGGGGCCGGGGCGCGAGCAGGCAGAGCCCCCCCAGAGAGGAAAGGCCAGGGCGTCTCTGCGGAGGGTCCGCGGTCGAGGTGACCTCGCGCGCGAGCAACAAACAGAACCCAAACACCTTGTGCCTTGAGGCCTCCGACTCCCCAAACCCCAGTGTCTGTACTACAGAGAAATCGACGTAAATTCATTACGTGGGTGTAAGACAGGTGTGTGAAAGGCTTAGTCTTTTTTTTTTTTTTAATTCTCACCTGAGGGTATTTTTTCCACTGATTTTTAGAGAGTGGAAGGGAGAGAGGAGGAAGGGAGAGGGAGAGAAGCGTCGATGTGATACAGACACGTGACCGGCCGCCTCGCGCACGCTCCCTGACCGGGGCCAGGGGTTGATCCTGCAACAGAGCCATGTGCCCTTGGCCGGAATCAAACCCGGGACTCTTCAGTCCTCGGGCAAACACTAACCACTGAGCCGAACTGGCCAGGCCTACAGTTTAAAAATTCTCGATAAATTATGTTTAAGACACTTGACACCAAGTTACGTGTCCCTTGACCTCAGAGGTGACATTAGCAGAAACACAAACGATTTCACGTTTGCACAGAAATCCCGGCAGAGAAAGTACTGGGGCCACTCGGAAGCTCCATGAATGCAGGAGGCAAGGGTGGCCGCCGTGACCGCCCGGAGGGGCCGTGGGAGGAGCCCTTACCCGGGAGCGGGCCTCTTCTGCGGGAGGCGGCTGGGCGGCTGTGGCGGCAGGGGCGGGGGGGTGGCTTTGCCCAGCGGGACCCCGGGCTGCGTCAGCTTGCTCTGCTGGCTCAGGGCTTCCATGGCACTGGGCACCTTTGCCGCCGACGGGGGCGGCGTGGGAGCCAGGGGGTCTGCGGAGAGAGAAGAGGGGAGAGGGGAACGCAGGGGTCAGGCCTCAGGCGCCACCTCCCGGCCTTCCCACAGGAGGCTCTTCCGTTAAGAGCTGCCTTTTGTCCCATCTCTATTTCGTAAGGAAAACGCCGACTCTCATCCCACATTTTCAGTACACAGTACTGGCGGGAGTCCTTCCAAGCCTCGAGTTACGATTAAAACATTCCTATGAGCCCGTGAGCATTTTCTCCAGGAGGACCCCCAGGGAGAAGCCAAGACGGCTGGTCTCCCGCTCTCCACCCTGAGACCTGCAGCAGCAGCAGCAGCTGCGGAGCTGAGGCCCCAGGCCCGACTCCGGCCACGTCCTGCCCTGGGGCTTCGGGCCTTCTGGGGTCAATTCTCTTTCTGCCTCCGGACCCAGGGGCCCGACCCATTTCCCAGGGTGCGAGGTCAACTTCAGCGCAGGCTGTGAGGAGTCCGCCCTGCAGGGGCTCCACCATGGCCCGGGGGGGCAGGACAGTTCATCTTCTACGTTCCACAGACCAGGGGGCTGAGGCTCGGGACGGGACGTGCTTTCACCAAGGGTCGCCGAGCAGGTAGGACAGGGCGCTGGGCCTTGAGCCCGGGCCTCCTGCCCCCCTCGCCCTCTCCCCGAGGGCCCTGCCCTCGCATCCCGTTGTCCTTGCAGAGGGGGACACCCGCCTCTGGACCCTGCCGCCTGAGGATCGGCAGCTCCTCTCCAGGGCAGCCGGGGGTGAGGCGCGGGCGACTAAGGAGGGAGTCAGGCGAGGGTCTGCCTTTATTGTATTATTTTTTCATTCGTGTTTCCTTTGCTCTAAAGGAAAAGCCAAAAGCCAGACTCCAGCGTGCAAATCTATAGCCCCGGGGACGCCAGACCGAGAGGCAGAACATGGGCTCTGGAAGGTAATGGTGCCCCCTAGGACCTGCTGCGTCCCCCCTCGACCTTCCGGGCGCCCCCTTGCTGTGTGGCCTGGATGCGTCTGAGCTGGATGACCCCGTCTCACCCCCAGGCTCTGCCCGCAGCCACAAACGCGTGGCACCAACGGCCCGGACTCCCATCTTCACCGAGGTTAAGGCAGGCGGGAAAAAGCCGAGGGGAAGCTCCCGACGCTCTGGGAGCAAACCCAGGGAGCCCAGTGCCTCACCCCAGGACACCTCCTGCTCTGCTCGCTGGAGAAAAGCCTCTCCCGGCCTGTCCCCCAGGTTCTGGGACTTTCACCCACAGGCTGGCATTAAAGAGAAACACAGGCCAGACTATAACCCACACGGCTGAGCCCAAACACCGAGCCCGCCCAACGGCCAAAGGAAACGCGGCCCTGGGCCGCCGCGGGAAGGGAGAAATAAAAGCTGCCGGAGCGCTTGGGGCGACAGGAGGCAGTG